TTTTAGCTGTGTTACAGTTTGTATAACCAATGACAATGCCCCACGCCAGTGAAAAATGCATGGGCCCACATCGAGAGATTGAATGATTGTAGGCCCATAAAATGACAGGCTGAACAACTATTGGCTTCAGCTAATACTCTCTCTTAAAAAGTTGGATTGTTGTTCAATTTGACGTTGCATCTTGGTTTCATTGACAAACTATTTGACCATTTTGTATTATAATTGATGTTAATTTGAGAGCCTTAAAGCTGTGTTTGGTTTGAAGGAAAAAATAGGGAAAGGAAGGGAAAGATAAAGAAATCTTTACAAATCTTGTATAGGTTTTCCTAATTTTTCCTTCAAACCAAACATAACCTAAAAAAAAGATGATTTAGGCACTTATTTGAACAAATTTTTAGGTACAGTATTTATTTCTCAAATGTAGAAAATATGTTCTTCGTTATGGATTTGGTGTTCTTGGACCTTCCTATATACCCAAAGGCTTATTTGTAGATGATTCCATTGAGCATGTTCATTCTCCTAAAAGCTTCTGTGAAAGCTCCTTGCTGCACAATGATGTGCTTTTTTTTTTGGCTATTGTGTATATCCTTGCATCCATTTGATGTTCTTAAAACATCTCTCTCCACCTTCTATGAAAATCTTGCAGCTGAGAACATCTATATTCTGTTTGTTCCTTTATCACATAGATAATGATATACATCTATAGCATTGGATGGCATGTGCATGGAAAAACTAAGGTTGTATTTGGTACCATGGCCATTTTTACTTGCAACATTTTAGGTTGGTCAATACAAATTTTTAAGAAATTGTCTTGTCACAACACACTAAATAATCATTTCCACTAAAATAATATAGTCATTGAATTGGGTGTGGTCATTGATAATAGAAATACTAAATTTGACCTTTTGGAAAAAAACACCAACGGTACTAAATCATAAAATTTGTATTTATCAACTTAAAATATTGCAAGTAGAAATGACAATGATATCAAACACAATATAAGGTATCTTGTTGTTAACTTGTCATCTCTTTCATGTTTCAGTTCACCACGAACATTTTGATTCGAGAAAGGCCCATTAAGCTAATAAACTTTGGATTTTTCTGTTCTAGTTTCTCTAAACTATATTTGTCACTAAAATCTGTTTCTCCACCATTTCTGAGTTGCTTCATACAGGAGTTTCTTTTTTTTTTTTTGAATTACACACGCTTTCTCTAGCAGATTTCTGCAGCTTTCTGGTTCAAAAGAGACCCACCAACCAAGATGGTGGTTACTGGTTCCACCAGAGTGTCACTATCTTAGTCTGCTGGAAAGATGTTCGAGCTTGAAAGGACTAAATGAGATCGACACCCAAATGATCATTGTTGATTTGTTGGTCTTGTTCGATATGCTTACATCAAAAGTCGGATTTTAGCTTCCTACGCAGTGTCTCGAAATGGGGATTTGAATCATGCACAATCTATTTTCGATCGAATTCAAATGCCAACCATCTTCAATTGTAATACCATGATCAAGGATTATTGTAAAAGCAATGAACCTCAAATGAGTCTATGTATGCCCAAGAGTGAACTGCACGGATGGAGCCCAATATGTTATATTTTTCCAGTGTTGGTATTCTTTTTCAGAGATTGCATCTGGTCTGACCATGATTTATGATTTAGAGGGTAACCAGGCCTTAAATAGATTAATCAAAAAAAAAAAAAGGGTGTACTCGAAGTATGGAATAATGGAACTTGCTCGCCAAATATTTGAAGAAGCACCCAACAGAAACATTGTCTGCTGGACCAGCCTTATTAGTGGACATTGCAGCCATGGGCTTGTTGATGAAGCTCAAATGGTGTTTGACCAGATGCCTGATAGAAATGACGTTTGTTGGAGGGCCATGATTTTTGGGTATGTTCAAAATGATTGTTTTAATGAGGCAATTGCGTTGTTCGACAAGTTGTTCTTTGAATGAGAAGCCCGATCATTCTCTTTTGGTGAGTGAGCTTAATGCCTGCGCTGGCCGGTGTGGGTGCTTTTGACTTTTGAGGACGGGAAATGGGTTCATTCCTATATAGACCGAAATAGGATTGAATATGGACTCGAGCTCGATTCTGCTCTGATAGATTTTTATGCGAAGTGTGGGTTTATAGAAACTGCAGAAGAAATACTCAAGAACATGCAGAGAAGAAATAGTATTGCTAATGGAGCCTGACCCGGCCCATTGTTTAATGGGTGTCTTTTTCAACGTAGGTGGTAATTAACGTTTTAAAACACGATTCAGAAACGGAATCGTTTTGGACATCGGTTTTCGGGTCAATGGTTTGACTGTTTGGTTTGAATGGACGGTTCATTCTGATAGTAAAATTAAAAAAAATTAAAAAATAAAAAAATGGTCAAAAACCATTGAACAGATTGACGGGTTGATGGTTTGACTGCCTGGGTCAATAGTTTATTGACTTTTTCAACAGTTTTTGACCAAATTCCGAGTTTTGAGTAAAACATAACCGATTGCCTGAATGGTTCCCAGGCCAAACAATCCGACCATCTGGGTCAACGGCGGTTCGAAAACATTGATAGTAATAGCAGGATTAACTGATCACTTTAACCTATTAGACCCGGGTCAGATCGGATGGTCAAAATTGTGAATGGGTAACAAGTGAACTTTCTGGTTTCAACTTTTTCCAATAGCTTTTATTTGTTAAATGATTAAATAATAAATTTGTGACTTAATTAGCCTTCAAATTATTATTTTTGGGCACACAAAAGCATTTTCATTGGTTAGAAAAGGATAGAAGAGTAATTGGTAAGAATGATTTTACTCTTACAAGCAAAGTAAGCATAAAGATGGGCCATTATATTTAATTGTCTATTTACATGAATAAGTGAAAAGGATTTTACACTAAGCAGCAGCCTTCCAATGTGAGCCCAGTACATCTGTTCTACCCATACCCATGTACTTGGTCGGATATGAATTATGAAGAGATTAACAAGTTTTTGACCATCAGAATATATTATTATATCAATTATATTGGCTGTTGAAACTGCTTTTACACCACCAAGACACGAAGCTCTGCATCATAACTTTCTATGGCCCAACAACTTCTTCTTTCAAATTGTTGTATAATCTCCTCTAACCTTTTGAATCCATAGGCCAATTAGGTGATTGATAGGGCTGTCAATGGACTGAATTCGGATTGGACTCCACCGGAACCTTAACTAATTGAATCAGTATAGACGGTCCGAAGTTTAACATCGGGTTGGACTGGTCCGAAAACTGATTGTCCAGTAATTTTGCTTTCAATCGTCCATTCAATAATAGATCGGGGAGTGACCTACTGTACTCTACGGTTTTATTCCAAATTTTCTTAAAACTCCATTCGTTATACCTATAACATACTATTCATCAATGGCGCTAAAGACTCATAGAGAGAGATAGAGAATCATTAACGATGTCAATTGAAGTTTTTAAAATCGGTTTGGATAGGGAACCATTCTAGCCTTTTAGGACCAGTTCTGAGTTGAACGGTCCCATTGAATGGCCGTTTTAACAAAAGAATTAAAAAAATAAAAAAAAAGAAACAAAAAATGGCCAAAATATTGTTGGAGTCGATGGTTCAATCGCTTGGGTCAGCGGTTCGCTGACTAAATCAATGGTTTTTTTTTTTTTTTGCCAAAAAGTGGTTTTGGGATGAAATGGAACCAGTCAGGTGACCGATTTTCGATTTTTCCAGTCCAACTGTCTGGTCTAGTTTGGTTCGGTTTTGAAAACATTGATGTCAATGAACTGGTTTTGGATTGGATCCAATCCGATCAAAACCTTATCAAATTGGATTTGGATGGTTTGTTATAATTATTGCATTGGGTCAATACAAAATAAATTGGCCCATATTCTAATCAGTCTAAATTGGACCTAAACCCAATTCTCAATCAATGTTTTTGAACTGCTATTGACTCGGACGATTGAACCGTTTGACTTGGGAATTGTCCAGGCAATTGGTTCCGTTTTCCCCACTCGGTCCTTGGCAAAAAACCGTTGAATTGGTTAATGACCCATTGACCCGGGTGGTCGAATTGTTGACCAGTTTGACCTTTTTATTTTAATTATTTTTTAAAGTTTTTTGTTAAAATGGGCTATCTATTCAAACCAGATGGTTGAACCATTGACTCGAAAACCAGTGGCTAGAATAGTTTCGGTTCCAGGTCGGTTTTTAAAACATTGTTCCTAATAATCCAATTATGAGGCCAAACCCTTGCCCAATTTGAAACTAATCAAAGCTAAACCGTTATAAGAACACTTTTATGAAAGTACTTTTATAAAAGCACTTTTACAAAATTGTTTTTATAAAAGTACTTTACACGAAAGAACTTTTATGAAATCACTTTCATAAAAGTATTTTTATAAAATCACTTTTAAAAAAACACTTTATAGAAGTACTTTTACAAAAGTGTTTCAATGAGACCGCTTTTATAAAAGCACTTTTATTCATTCACTTTGGATTGGATTGGACCCAATCTGATTCGTTTGCATTTTAATTGGAATGGATTGGGTTGCATCAGGTGTTATAGTTTTTTTATATATTTTTTGGATTTATCATGTTATTTTGGTGTCTGATTGAATTTGGATTGGATTAGGCCCGGCCTGGTCCATTTGCATTTTACTTGGATTGGATTGGACTTGGTTTGTATGGATTTGGTCCAATCCATTTATAAGTGGACCAATATTGGATTGGACCGGATTGGACCAAATCCGATCCAATTGACAGCCCTAGTGGTAGCTTTGAACTTCAAGATACCATCACAATACTACATGCTATATGTAATCATCTGATGTACTACATTTTTTTGATAAGGTCTAAAGGGGCTACGAGTGTAGCACATCCCCAAAAATCTCAAAAAATAATAACATTAAGGCTATGCTTGGTTTGAAGGAAAAAGTAGGGAAAGGAATGGAAAGATATGAAAACCTATACAAGATTTGTAAAGGTTTCCCTGCCTTTCCTTTCCTTTCCCTATTATTTCTTTCAAACCAAACACAGTCTAAAGTCCTAGGGGAGAGGCCCCAAATTCAAAACAATAAGTCTGTCCTCGTTTCTTTGTGCCTCATTTGTTAGCCAGTTCATAGCTTGATTTGCTTTGCAAAAAGCATGGTTGTAGTTGACTCCAGAGTCCTGCCTCGCACATCTTCTTTATTTCCAGGGAATCACCAATTAGGTTCTTCAATCTCCAGGGCAGGTAGTTTAAGCTAAGACCATAGCTGTTTAAGGAGTCTTGCTCTCCGAAGCTCTGCATTTTTTCTCTCACCCTTTTTGATGGGCTTCCTGACTCTCCAAAATCATGTCCTCTGTTGGGCATAGCACGAAGGAGTGGAAATCAAAATGGCAGCTAAAGATCCTCCTCTAAGCATTGAAGAAAAATGCAAGTTATGTTTTTACGGAAAGCTAATCACTGATAAACCAGTCAATGCCTTTAGGGTGGTGGAAAGAGTTAAAAATATGTGGAAAAAAAGGTAAACAACTATGATGTTAGGAGGCTGAACGAAGATGTTCTTTTTATCATTTTTAGCCGGGAAAAGGACTGTAAACGGGTTCTCAAGAATCAGCCATGGCTGTTCAAAGATTACCCTTTACTGCTGCAGAGTTGGGTCCCTGATCAGAAGCCAAGTAAAATGGTGTTCGAGCTGATGGACATTCAGGTGCGTATATTAGACTTACCACCAGAAATCATGACTAGGGCTTATGGGGAGCAGTTGGCTAAGCAAGTTGGAGTGCCAGTACCACTTGATGAGGATGATATTCCAGACAAGAACGCACCGGAATGGAATGGATTTTTGAGAGTTAAAGTCATTGTAAATGTAAATGAGCCTCTAGTTAAAGGAATTGTTAGGCGTAGAAGGGATGGAGTGGAGGAATGGCACCAAGTTCAATATGAACGCCTCCCCATTTTTTGCTATGAATGTGGAAGAATTGGACATGAGTCGGCGACTTGTGTATTTGGTTCAGAAAGAGATCCAATGGATGAACTTGCTGAGAAGTTTGCTGCGCAAGCTGTGAAAGAAGGTGGCATCCCAATGGACTACGGGCCCTGGCTCCGGGCTTGGGATGATCTTGAGGAGGCCAAGCTCTTGAACAGAGGAACTGTGGTGTTGAGTAAAGGCAAAAGCAAGCAGCCAGTTCACGTTGAAGGGAATGGCAGTCCTGGGGAGATGAAAATGCAACCCAGTAGTGAAACGGGCCATGGAAAACATCTAGTAAGCTCAAATGTTCCGGGATTATGTGCATAAATGTCTTCTTGTAGTAGTTTCCATTCCAGTTCCAATGAAGTCGCGGCAAGAAATCTAAGAGAAAATACTCTGAGTAGCGGGAACTTCAATATGGTTTTCTCGCCGGTGGAATTTTTCAGGCATAATGAGCAATCCAGAAATGGGCATGTCAACATGGTTAGAACCCAGATGGCGGGTGGATCAAGCTTTTCCAAAATAGGTAGTGTTAATTAGCTGTCGAGAAAAGAAAACTTTCAGATAATACACAAGAGGAAATCTTCGGGAGTAATAATCGAGGAAATTTCTGTGCAGCAAGTAAGCCCTGAAGACAGACATTTTGTTTCTCATATTGGTAAGAACTCAGAGCAATGGTGCAACTCCCTAGGGGTCTCTACTATTGAGCGTGAGTTGGAAGTAAACTCGCAGGAAAATGAAAGAAACTGTAAGCTAAAACGTCCCATGTCAGAATACAATGGTGCGGGTTTCGGGGTGGGTTTTGTTGAATCCAGGAATAACTTAGTGCCAGTTTTCAAAAAACCAAAGTTTGAATCTGCGAAGCTTTCTGCCATCTTTGGGAGCAACCGCGAAGAAGTGGGGGAACTCTGTCAAATGCGGATTAGCACTGGCACTACGCTTCCTGTTCCAAAGGTAAATTTGTCTAATCACTGGTGTAATTTTTCTTTACATCTTTCAGCTCTTAAATTAATTCCTGAGTGTATGTTTGATAAAATTTTTGTGCAACTCGCTTCCCCCTCGATAATTACATATTCAGCTCCGATGAGAAGGAGAAAGGGGAGATTCGGGTTGAAGAAAACTAGTTATAGGAAAAAGTTAAGTGTGAGTAGAGTTATGCCCCTCGGCTGCTACTGGGGTGTAGACAACGTCTTCAGAAGATGCATGTTAGCTGATCGCCATTTGTTTGTTACCTTATCACAAAGAAAACAAACCTTTAGTGAGGGGTGTCCAATCTTTTGTAGAAATTCCCAGGAGGACTATCTGTTTAGAGCAATCAAAAGGCTGGAATCTCATAAGCCCTACTGCCTTTCCTTGTTATGGAAGAGGTGCTTCAAATTGAAATGTCAAAATAAGTGGGCCTTGGTGGCTGTCCCAAAACAACCAACATAGTGGAAATGAAAGATCAGCTAGAACTGTCAGGGCTTAGGCTTCCCCTAACAGTTCGGACAGCGAAGAGGATGATTCAGAAGGGAAAACCATCTATCCTTTTCCTTATGGAAACAAAGTGTAGTCTTATTGAGTGTCGTAAGAAGTTTAAAACTCTCAAGGACTGGGACTGCTAGGGCGTTGACCCTGTTGGCCTTTCTGGTGGTTTAGCCTTGTTTTGGAACTTTGAGGTTAAAGTGGAGACCATTTATGCAAATAAGAACATTATCCATTCTAAAATAGCAGATGAAAAGAATCATAAATTTTTCTGCTCATCCATTCTAAAATAGCAGATGAAAAGAATCATAAATTTTTCTGCTCCTGTTATGGCGAACCAAACAAGAAGCTAAGAAGCATTTTTTTTTTTTATCAATGGTGTCATACAACTAGTAAAGTGAGAGGAGAATGGTGTTGTGTAGGTGACTTTAACTTTATCCTGGCACGAGATGAAAAATGGGGGGGGGGGAAGAGAACCAAAACACTGGGAAATCCAAAGGAATCTTAACTTTTTCAATAGCTTGGGTCTCTCTCATTTGAAGAGCAGTGGTCCGAAGTTTACTAGGTGCAATAAGAGAAAGGGGAGAGGATTGGTAAGAGAGGTCTTAGATAAAGGCTTTGCTAACCCTGATTGGGAACTTCTTTTCCCTGAAACTTGTGTTATTCACCTAGCTGAGATGGGTTTTGATCACATTCCTATAATGTTGGATACCTATCTGACCTTTCAGAAGGGTAGGAGGCCTTTCAGGTTTGAAGAAATGTGGGCTTCTCATGAGGACTGTTTTAATATTGTAGATGTTGTCTAGAGGAAAGAGATTGCTGGTTCCAGACAAATGAGTGTCTTAACAAAATGTAATTGGCTCTGCGCAGAGTTGAAAACATGGAACAAAGACACCTTTGGCCATTTAAGTAAGAGGATTGAGGAAGCCCATAGAGAGCTAAAGGATGCACTTAATACAAGCGATAATCAGTTTACAACAAGTAGAGTGAAGAGTTGTGAAGAAAATCTAGCTACTTGGTTAAAAAGAGAGGAGATTTTTGGGCTCAGAAATCTAGGTGCAACTGGCTCAAGTGGGGAGATAAAAATACAAAGTTTTTTCACAATAGCACTTTGAGCAGAAGATCTAGAAATAGGGTGTTGAGAATAAAAAAATTCAGATGGAGTATGGCTTGAAAACCAAAGGGCGATCTAGGATGCTTTCAAGGATTATTTTTCAAACCTGTTTAAATCCTCAAATCCAAGTAATATAGAGCAGACCCTTGAAAAAGTGAATGTTTGCCTAAAAGAGGATGAGAGTAGGGAGCTAGAAAAGGAGGTCTCTGATGATGAGATAGCTGAAGCACCGTTCCAAATGAACCCTAGGAAGTTCCCGGGTTCGGATGGCTTCTCAAATCTGTTTTTTTCAAAAATATTGGAGTTCTCTTGAAAAAGATGTGGTGGCTGTGGTTAAACAATTCTTTGAAAAAGGAAAGCTTCTAAGAGATTTGAATGCTACCTTTATAGCTTTAATTCCCAAGATTGACCACCTAGAAGATCCTAGTCATTTCAGGCCAATCAGCCTCTGCAACACAATCTATAAAATTATCGCAAAAGTGTTGGCCAATAGATTGAAGCCAAAACTTGCAAAATTGATATCACAAAATCAAAGTGCTTTTCAAGAAGGGAGGTCCATAAGAGATAACATTCTATTAGCCCATGAGATTTAACATCACATGAAAAAACAAAAGCAAAAAAGGAATAATGGCTTTAAAGTTAGATATGAGTAAAGCCTATGATAGGATAGAGTGGTGCTTTCTGAAGAATGTTCTTGAAAAGATGGGTTTTGGTAAAACATGGATTGGGTGGATCATGGATTGTGTAACCTCGGTCTCCTACCAAATTCTGGTCAATGGTTTTCCCAGTGGGAAAATCTTCCCTTCTAGAGGCCTCAGACAGGGTGACCCAATATCCCCTTACCTTTTTTCTCCTTTGCTCAAATGCCCTCTCTAGGATGTTTTTAAAGATTGTGCAGGAAAAGAAAATTTCTGGTATCAAGCTTAACAGTAGATGTTCAACAATCTCACATTTGTTTTTTGCAGATGATAGTTTCATTTTCACTAAAGTTGATCCAGTGGAAGGCCAGAGGGTTTTGGAGGCAATTAGAAATTATGAACAAACTTCAGGACAACAGGTGAATCTAAGAAAATCTGAAGCTACTTTTAGTAAAAATGTGCATTGTAGGATTCAAAAGTTATTGTCTAGAAGCATGCAAATCAAGAGAATAGAAAAATCCTCTGTTTATTTAGGTCTACCCTCCCACTTTTGTAGATCAAAATATAAAATTTTTAAATTCTTGACTAATAGAGTGGAGAGAAAGGCCTTTAACTGGAAGAATAAGTGGTTAAGCCCAACAGGAAAAGAGGTGTTGATAAAAGCTGTTCTCAATGCAGTTCCTGTCTATAGCATGTCTTGTTTCAAGCTGCCAAGTAAGGTGTGTGACAAACTAAAGAAGATCCAGAAGGATTTTTGGTGGGACAAAGAGAGGGATAAGACAGGGGTTAACTGGGTCAGCTGGAAAAATCTCAGTCAAAATAAACTCTTTGGTGGGCTGGGGTTTAGAGACCCTATCGCCTTTAATAAGGCCTTGCTGGCCAAGTTGGTGTGGAGGCTGACCAAGGGTGAAGATAGTCTGTGGGCTCAGGTTTTAAGAGCAAAGTATATTAGAAATTGATCTTTTCTAAATGATAATCTCCCCAAATCAGGTTCATGGGGATGGAAAAGTGTGCTGGTGGGAAGAGAGCTTATTAAGGAGGAAGTGTGCTGGTCTCTAGGCTCAGGAAGGAGTATTACAGTTTGGGAAGACCCATGGATTCCTGGAATCCCAGGTTTTAGAATCATAGGCCTGAAGCCAAATAATCCAAATATCTTAAAAGTCTGTAATTTGTTCTTTCCCAACAGCAAGGAGTGGAACACAAACCTAATCAACAATACCTTTATTCCTTCAGTTGCCTAGAAAATCTTGGAGATCAGACCCCTCATCTTCGATTGGGATGACAAACTAACATGGGTTGCTGATAAGAAAGGATTTTTTTTAGTAAAATCTGCCTATTTTGTTGCAAATAAACTAGCTAAACCTACAATCTCTCAAGGCCTGAGAGACAAGCAACTCTGGTCCCAAATCTGGAATTTGAAAGTGCCCCCAAAAATTAAACATTTCCTTTGTCGTGCTTGCCTTGATGCACTGGCCATTAAGGTAAATCTGGTCAAAAAGAGAATTCAGTCTGTTTCCACCTGCCCTGTCTGCTCAAAGGAAGAAGAAACAATTATGCATGCTCTCTGTGAGTGTGACTTGGCAAAAGCCTGTTGGTTTGGTAGCCCTTTGGGAATCAGAATGCAATCCCTCCCTCCTGTCTCGTCTTTTAAGGAGTGACTAATAGGCTGTTTCTCTATGTACAATAGCTTTTTAGAAAGGAAGCAAGAACTAAAATCCACTTTAGCTCTTCTTTGTTGGAATATCTGGCTTCATAGGAATGATATTATTTTTAAAGATGCCCTTCCTAACCCAAAATTTGTTATTGGCAGGGTTCTGAATCAGCTCCAAGAACTTCTGAAGATGGAAGCTACTTCATCACAAACACAACCCCTTCTAATGGGGAGGCTGTCTTTTCTGTTCTTTGGACTCCTCAAGCTGATTCTTTGAAATTAAATGTGGACGGAGCTTTTTTGGCAGTTAATTCAGCAGCTTTTGGTTTAGTTATCAGAGATCAAGGAGGTCTTTTTGTGGCGGCTAAGTGTGGCAAAGCATCAGCTGTTTCAGCCCTCCAATCAGAGGCTCTAACTGTCCTAAATGGTCTATTGTTTGCTCAAGATTTGCAGTTTAAGAAGGTGATTATTGAAAGTGACAACAAGTCTCTGATTAACTGGCTCAAAAAGAAAGAGATTAACTGTCCTACAGAGATTTCTGCCATAGTTCAAGACTGCTTAAAAGTTGCTAGCTTTTCTGAAGTCTCCTCCTTTGTAAAGAGGTTGGAAAACAAAACTGCCCATGTTGCAGCTCAAAGAGGTCTTCTGGGACCAGAGCAATGGCTGGATGCTGCTCCTTTTTGGTTGGCTGGTGCTCTTGCTGATTGGTCTAGTGGTTAACTGTGTTTTTTCTAGTTTTCAGTAGGAGGTAGCTTTGCTGGTTTTTTATGTTTCATGTGTTTCTGCTGTTTGTTTCTCTGTGTTGTGTTTTTGTATTTCTGCTGTTGTTCTCTGGCTTCAGCCTTGCTTTCTAAATGAAATATGTTTATTACCAAAAATAAAAAAACTTCAAGGCGGGTCCAGAATCTACTACAAAGCAAGAAATAGCTAATTTAGAGTCTATGGGAGAATCCCTAAAATTAAGAGCTACCTAGGCCATGTTAATTGTTGTTATCCTCACATTATAGGGTTTAACATCAAGAACGTACTTGTCTTCGGTGATTATTATTATTATTATTATTATTATTATTATTATTATTATTATTATTATACCCTTAACCCCCAACCCTAGTGGCAATAGGATCTGATCTTAGGCCTCTGCTACAATTAGCAAGAGAACCTACCAATTGAGCCATCAATCAGTTGGTAATTCGAATTTTATATTTATTCTGATTGTTTTTCAAGTTTTTTAACTTTACCTTTGGCTTCTTTTATGAATCATAATGTGATGCCTTGTGTTGTTGTGTACATATTATTTGGTACTGACCTAAAGCATTTAAGTTCTTTTACTTTTATAATTGATCACAACATAATTTACTTACATAAGAATGGAATGATTTATTGCAAGTTGAAGGGAACTAGAAAGGCTAGAAGTAGAAAAAAAAAGACAAGTAGAAATTGTAATAAATGATTTAAGTGTCAATAATTTAATAATGGATATGACATTAAATAGAATGAAAATGATGAAATAGGATTATGTAGCTAATCCCATATAGTTGGAATAAGATTTAGACGATGATAATGTTGATCAAACATAATTACATAATTGACTTCCGTGTATCCATCAAAATAGAACAAAAAATGGCTTTTCTCTGCAAAACAAGTAAGAGCTAAAAAAAAAGTTTCATCCTTCTTACTTTTCAATTTGACCCGTTTGGGAAGGTTAGAGCTTAAGTTCTGCTATTAACAATAGCAGCTGAAAAGAGTGCAGAATATTTTTCCGACATTATAGATATTTCCTTTCATAAAAATGAAAAAGAAGCTTTTGACGTTTTGTGATTTAAAATCCATGAAATCCAAAAATAAATAGTGGGATAGCTCTCCCAGGGATGTTGATGGATTGAGTAAAAGCTTGACTATTAGTCAAAAAACAGTTTGGACTATTTTGAAGCTCTTTGCATTAAGACAGGTATCCCGCTTAGTTTTTATTTTTTCTTTTTAATTAAAAGAATTAGTATAAAAGTACATGCTATACATGTGTAAAATAAGAATTATTTATAAATTATAATGGTATTTTAATTGAATTTTTATAATTTGCACTTAAAACAAGACAAATTTTCATCTTATATGGTATAGATATTGATTGCAATTAGTTACCAAAAAAGGATATTGATTGCAATTACCCTTTTACTCAGCACCCATGCTAACAAGTCGTGTATGTGAAACTTTTATTTTATTTTTGATGCAAATCATGTATGTGAAACTTCAGAACAATGCATGTGTTATTTTCCAAACGGCCAAGCCTTATCGGGTTAAATGGTAAACCACCTTATTCGACTCTTTGGCCTTTGAGATAGGGCTCCTGGAAGTTCAGATTGATTCCCAACAGAGCATGCCCCACATTAAGATTGTGGATTGTGCTGTGGATAAGGTTTGCAAATCGTTGTTGACCTGGATGGTTAGACCGTTTGGCCCGGGAATCGTTTAGGCAACTGGTTCAATTTTACTTCAAATTTGATTTTTGGTCAAAAACCATTGAAAAAGTCAATAATCTGTTGACTTGGGTGGTCGAACCGTCGACCCATTGACCCGTTCAATAATTTTTGACAGTTTTTTATTTTTTAATTATTTTTTATTTGTCAGAACAAGCTGTCCGTTCGAACCAGACAGTCGAACCGTTGACCCAAAAACCGGTGGCTATAACGGTTCCATTTTCGGGTCATTTTTTAAAACGTTGGTTGCGGAGCATGCTTAGTAAAGAGCCTATGTGTTTTTGGTTTGAGGCAGTCTTAGATAGGGTTAAATCCTTAAACTACCTCTATGGTTTAGTAAATAGACAATGACTTACCCTACTATTGCGTAATCACTTAAACTACCCCTTATAGTTTCTGACAATGGACAACCATTAGGAACCTTGAAAAGGCTACTTTGCTCTTAATTTTTCTTCATATTTTCAAAATGTAACATTGTGGAAGAAAATTGACCAAAATGCCTTTTAGTGGAACACATCAATTTAGAACTTTTTTTTTTTTTCTCTAGGATGTCAATTCATGAAAGCTGCTAACCAGGTACAGAACCTAAGGTTTATTATGTAATTATATTCTCAATTTTGGATAAACAAGTGTCAAATATATTTGTCACTATATACAAAATATATCTACCGCTATTTGTCAAAAATTATTTGTAGTGGCAGATATATCCATTGCTATGCAGAAATTATATATATATATATATATATATATATATATATATATATTATATATATAGAGTGGTAGATATAAGCATTTGTAACAATTAGATAACCTTTTAGTAGCGGATGCAAATGCCACAAAATAGATTTATTCACCACTATTAGTTATGTATAGCGGCGGTTTTTATATGGTGACGCGACATAAAACAGCGATAACAATTCGTCAAAGATCTGTTGTAGTGGTTATTAATTGGATTCAGGAATTGGAAGCCTAGGTATCGCAATTAAGTCCTTGATGACTACTATATCATCTCCTTTTCACTATTTCAGATTTGTGCTTATCTCAAAGGACATGGGGAAGGGGAACTAGTGGATCTGCAAAGGCCGAGCTTCTTTGTCTATTCCCAAGGCTTAGATTCTTATTCTCTTTTGGCTTTGAGAGGAAAATCATCTAATAGTCTCCAAAAGGTCATTAAATAGGATTCGACATGGATCTCCGTCCAGATATGTCCCATCCCGCTGGAGACTGGTTTAAGTCTTTAATCGGATCTTCGCGTAGATCTATCTGCCCTAACAACTCTAGGTCTGAAGTCCCAAAATCATGCTACTTCCACTTTAGATCCCCGTCCGAATATAAAGTTATCACAAGTTTTTGTGTTTATCAAGACTCTTTTAGAAAGAGAAAGAAAAAAATCTATTTTTTTTTTTGGGCTGTTCTTTCATCAATAAGTTAAGTTTTGTTTTTAAAATTTGAAGAATAATGAAAGGTAAAATTGACTACAAAAGGGTAGTTTTGGAATTAACAAAAAAATATATAAGTTACATGCGGACGGATTGTAGTAACACACACACTAATGGTAGGGGAGGATTTTATCTATTTTTAGAAAACTTAAGGGTTTTTAAGTCATTTGTCCATTTGCTAAATCATTGAGGTACTTTAAGTATTTAACCTTAAATTAACTCACATAGGTTTTATGGGTTTTGAATTTGCTAGCCCCGACCAAGGTTCAAACTTCAAAGTATGATATTCTTCATATGCAAGATTTCATTTCATCAAAACTACTATTTTCTTTACAAATTGATAGGGGTGTAGCCATTTAAAGCCATTAAAAATTTTTTGGCAAATTTATGGTTTGTTTCCCTAAAAAAAATTATTATTTTTTGAATGTATTGTCTCAAATCTCACCTATGCTACAATACCCCCATGTATTATGTATTATGATAGATTCTCTTACCTGTCACAAACTTAGAAAAATTTATGAGATGGAAGAATCTACAAAAATCCCTGAAATTCTTCAAATTCCTTGTATAAAATGTATGGATAACCCATAGATATGAAACAATAAACCTTGATTGACCCATTAGGTCATTGTGCTTTAATATTTCAAGGGTATTGGCCGTCTTGTTATAATTTCTTAATTCTTATTAAGTTATTATGAAATACTCATGAAATTTCTATAACAAGCAAGTGAAGTAACACAATTACTTACTCATGTTAAGGAGGCAACTTGTGTTAATGAACCAAACAACTAATAATTACTTTAAAAAAACATTATTCTTCCACAATACTTGGCAAAACTTCTAATAAATCAAGATTTTAACCGATATGGGTTTGGTTGCCTATATGTTTTGATGGTAATATATAAAAACCTCCCCTAAAATTTCTGATAATCATAAAAATCTCCTCTATAGTTTAACTTTAGTAAAAACCTCACTTCTATTTAAAAAAAAAGAAAAATCAACAAAAACCTCCATTTCGTCAAAAAAAATTGGCTGCGGCAGTGCCTCTAGATCAGATGGTCTCGTCGTACTTGCCGGCATCATCTTGCTCGCCCTTGATTTCCTCCTTCCTCCGTTCATTTGCCCCTATTTCTCCTTCCTCTGTTCAATCGTCGGCATCGATCTTCTCCTCGGTTCCTTGTCAACATCAATGTTGTTGATTCAAAGGTCGGGGAGAAGGAACTCCGATAGTAAACAAGAAATAGTATTTCAAAACCTTCATTTTGCCATTGATTTGAGATCATGGAGCAACGACTCAACAGATTGACGTCGTTGCTGGTGGAGGCGAGAATAATGACAGCAATTTGAGTCAAATAACACACTTGAGTGAGCCCTAAATAGTGAGAACGGTGACGGCGAGAGTGATGATTGGTGGTTTTGCAAAGTCCTAAGTGAGAAGAAGAAAGAAGAAAACCTTAATAAGAAGTAGAGAAGAAAATTGTCGAAGCATCAAAGTTTAATCTTTATGTCGAGGGTTAATGGGTAACTTCGAGCCAACCTACCTTGACCCTTTTCTTGTCATCCATTAACCTTAACCCTTTTCCTTCGACCCTAATGAGTCACTCGACCAATGTTGATCCATCATTAGAATGAATGGATTATATTGGATGAGTCAGATGTGATGTAGGGTGATTTGGCCTGACCTCATAGTATGGGGACACGTGGACATGATCTGGCATAAGTGACAACTCAACGTGACAGCCTGGCCACTACTCGGCGCAGCAACCTCGCCGAGGCCCGGTCAAACGACTCGCCGGGTGTCACAGCTCGTCGAGAGGTCGGGCCCCACTCGCCCCAAACCTGAGGATGGAGCCCCCGAGCTCCCCCGTGCAAAGGGACCCGAGTTCCTCCTAAGGGACTTCGAGCTCTTCCTTTCTAAGAAGGAAGCACCCCAACTTTTGGCTAAGTGTCCTGAGGGATAAACACCTTGGGACAACACCATCAAGACTCCTGCTCGTACTTGCTTAAGGCT